TACAAACTAGCATCAAATATTGGCTATTTGAACAGATGTATACAAACTAATGATGCATGTTGAAATAATACTTGAAAAAGTTAAATAGTTATAGAAATATCCAAGGATCACAATTTTACCAAACTATTTTGTTACTAGTTTTGATCATTGTTTACCACCATACTTTTGATACTAAATCATTGTTTACCACCATACTTTTGATACTAAATCATTGTTTACCAACATACTTTTGATACTAAATCATTGTTTACCACCATATATTTGATACTAAATCATTGTTTACCACCATACTTTTGATACTAAATCATTGTTTACCAACATACTTTTGATACTAAACCATTGTTTACCAACATACTTTTGATACTAAATCATTGTTTACCACCATACTTTTGATACTAAATCATTGTTTACCAACATACTTTGATACTAAATCATTGTTTACCACCATACTTTTGATACTAAATCATTGTTTACCACCATACTTTTGATACTTGATCATTGTTTACCAACATACTTTTGATACTAGATCATTGTTTACCAACATACTTTTGATACTAAATTATTATTTACCAACATACAGGAAGTGTTTGTTAAATTAAAGACATTTCTAACTAAACACTAATATGTTATGTTTAATGCGGGAATATGTGATCAGAAGATGAAACATTCATAGGTATAGCCATTTTATGTATATCGCTTTATATACATACATAAAACGTAGTGGTAGATCAAATAATAGTATTAGATCACACACCACTTGTAAACAGTAGCAGGTCAAAAATAATATCAGGTCACACAATTTAAAAACATAGTAGCAGGTCAAAAAATAATATCAGGTAACACACCATTTAAAAACATAGTAGCAGGTCAAAAATAATATCAGGTCACACTATTTAAAAACATAGTAGCAGGTCAAAAAATAATATCAGGTCACACTATTTAAAAACATAGTAGCAGGTCAAAAAATAATATCAGGTAACACTATTTAAAAACATAGTAGCAGGTCAAAAAATAATATCAGATCACACACCATTTAAAAACATAGTAACAGATCACAAAATAATATCAGATCACACACTTTAAAAACACAGTAGTATATACGATAGTAACATCAGGTTATACATAAATTAAACATATATATGTAATAGCAGACGACGCAAAACTTAAAACATCTTAAAAGATCTATCCATAGTATCAGACCATACATCTTAAAATATAGCAATAGATCGAATAAAAGTCTCGGGTCACATACAACTTAAAACATATGATAAATCAAACAAAATTATTAGATCACATACTTGAAAAACAAACTTAGTAATATTAACTGAAACGACAATATTAGAACACAGACAATGTACGCCCTTTTCACAGCTACGGGAAACTTTAAACTTATTTCTT